TCAGCAGTGAAAAAATCAAATCCGGTGAAAACATGACATTATGCATAAATCTAGTTCAACTATAAACAATAACTATTTTAAACATATATATTCAGCAGTGAAAAAATCAAATCCGGTGAAAACATGACATTATGCATAAATCTAGTTCAACTATAAACAATAACTATTTTAAACATATATATTCAGCAGTGAAAAAATCAAATCCGGTGAAAACATGACATTATGCATAAATCTAGTTCAACTATAAACAATAACTATTTTAAACATATATATTCAGCAGTGAAAAAATCAAATCCGGTGAAAACATGACATTATGCATAAATCTAGTTCAACTATAAACAATAACTATTTTAAACATATATATTCAGCAGTGAAAAAATCAAATCCGGTGAAAACATGACATTATGCATAAATCTAGTTCAACTATAAACAATAACTATTTTAAACATATATATTCAGCAGTGAAAAAATCAAATCCGGTGAAAACATGACATTATGCATAAATCTAGTTCAACTATAAACAATAACTATTTTAAACATATATATTCAGCAGTGAAAAAATCAAATCCGGTGAAAACATGACATTATGCATAAATCTAGTTCAACTATAAACAATAACTATTTTAAACATATATATTCAGCAGTGAAAAAATCAAATCCGGTGAAAACATGACATTATGCATAAATCTAGTTCAACTATAAACAATAACTATTTTAAACATATATATTCAGCAGTGAAAAAATCAAATCCGGTGAAAACATGACATTATGCATAAATCTAGTTCAACTATAAACAATAACTATTTTAAACATATATATTCAGCAGTGAAAAAATCAAATCCGGTGAAAACATGACATTATGCATAAATCTAGTTCAACTATAAACAATAACTATTTTAAACATATATATTCAGCAGTGAAAAAATCAAATCCGGTGAACATGACATTATCGAAACTAAGACCGAAGTAGATTTTAGGTTATCGAACATCTTTATAATTGCCTAATGAACCTTAGTATAACATTTCACATGAAAGTGAATATACAATTATTTTAAACATATGAATGGGGCTTGGAACGAGTCATGCCCGAAAAGCATGTATGTATTGCTTATAGCTGAAAAGAGCAGCCATTTTCTCGAAGACGACGGCACATATGCTTTTTTCCCAAAGCACGTTCAAGTTGGAACAATTAGAAATGCACCAATAGCTTCAGAAACGGCCAAGGTCAATGTTATTGAATTCCAAAATTCAAGATTTGCCTATTTATCTTCCCATGATCCTTTACTTCCCTTACTTACTTACTGATGTCACCTTTTAATATGACAACGTTTTTAGAATAAGTGTATCTTTTTACACTTTATATTATAGTAGGGTTTAAATGATTTTAAAAGTTGTCTGTTTTGAAACATGGGTGTGTGCAAAGGGGCCCAGAGTTTCCAGAAACACTCTTCCTTGCTTCCTTGTCAGACAGAAGCTTTGGTACGAGACCTTATTTGATAAATCAATAGGGTTACACATTTTTGGATAGTCGAATAAATAATAAATAAATACAAATTATTAATTAGTTTTCCAAAATATTGGTTTTCAAAAAACTATTTACATCTATAACACAACTATAAAAACGAACTAATAATTATAATCTAGAGAACATTTTTTTCGATGTGAATCAAAACAACATTCATTTCAATTTTGCAGTCAATCACCTTTTTCACAACTTGAAACCGCAAGAAAGAAAATAAAATCTGGAATTCGTACCCCCTCCCTCGTGAAAGCCTTGCACACGCTCATGTGTCATGTGACCTCTTTCTTTTAAATCTTACACACAGCAATCCCTGGCTTTGCTGCCGTTTCTAACACGGGTATACTAGGAGTATTCATTGGTAAACTATGCGATCAATTTGGAAGCCGTAAGATCCTATTCACTGGTAGCATTCTCTCTTCAATAGGAATGGTATCATCCTCATATGCTCCGAATATCGGTGTGTTAATTGGGACTTTTGGATTTCTTCTCGGAACTGGAAGCTGTATGGTGTATTTCAGTGCAATGATGGCCATTCCATTATACTTTGATAAATACAAGTTCGAAGCATTTTCTATAGTTTCAAGTGGTCTAGGCTCTTCATTGTTACTAATGACTCCAATTGTGCAGAAACTTTGATTTGTTTATGCAAATATGTTTTCTTTCCATGTGTTGAGAACACAGTTTAAAATCGGGTATCCTAACATATGAATAATACCAAAAAATACAGTCTTCCCGTTTGATAATGAGTCCATGAACTATTAATGAGGCACTATTGTGCATTTATAGACATCTGTTAATTATTTCTATATTTATACCGATAGGTTATATAGCAGATGTCAGCGGATCGTATAAAACTGCTTTTTACCTTGCTAGCTCCCTGCATGTCTATGCTGTTTGTTTAGGTTTATCAAGTCTTCGGACAAACATAATATCCAWCCAACCAACCTATAAATGAACCAAGCAACCAACCAATCATCAAGCAGCCAACCAACCTACCAACCAATCAATCACCAACCAGGCAGCCAGCCAACCAACCTATAACCAACCAAACGGCCAAACAACCAATCAACCAACCAACCAGCCAGCCAACCAGCCAAAAKTTACCATTTTACAGAGAATTTATGTGATTGGAGGTATGGTTAACATACCCCCTAGACATCTTTACGGCTTTTAATGGGTTTGATAGAATGTTACAAAGGCTCTAAGTGAATTATATACTTTAGGTCCTTACGGACAATTTGTGCATGCCTGAGTTTGGCGGCTATTGTGGAGAAAGGACTATTCCTTTTCAGTGGATACAAAGTAATATATGTGATAATGGAAATGACAGCTGGCATCGTTTATCAAGCTTGTCCATTTCCTCATGGGATTTTGCTCGTAACTTCCGTCCAAAGACCTAGAACAACTATGTTGTGTATGTATATAGGAATATACATCATAGCTGGCAACTAACTGAAAAGGTACTCCTGTAGTAAAGGCCAAATTAGACGGCACAACTTTAGCCTACAACCATCACATGCAACCAGGCGCGTAGCGTCCTTTACGCATATACGCACGTGCGTACTAATGGAAATGAAATATAAAAATTTTCACAAAAACTGAAAAATTCACATAAAAATGATCCCTTTCTATACATCCTCGATGTCTCTGAGAATACTGGAAATCGCATTTCCAAGAGTTATTATTTCAAAATTTCCTGGTGGCGGTCCAGACTCCCTTAATACTCGCCTTTGGCGGTCGTTAGACCCCTAGATACAAAATATGTGTCGCGGTCCCTGACATGTGCGTACTAGCCAAAAAGTCCACGCTACGCGCCTGGCAGCACCTAAGTCATCCTTACAACATGTTGTAAAGACGACTTGGGTGGTTGCATATGAGTAGCCTTGACAGAAACATTACCGCCGAACCAAAACTATAAAGAGGAATAAAAGAATACTTCAATATCGTTTGGCTTAAATCTAAACGTTCCGGCCATAAAAGTACATTCATTATTGTAGCTGCACCCAACTGGTGKTTGATAAGCTCCGGGTTTTKTGTACGAGTTTGGTGAACTACCTGCAAGATTAGCAATGTAAATATCATGTGGATAGCCAAATGTTGGTCCATAAGTGGTATAACCAAATATGGCTTTATGGTTGTACTGTCCAGTCAGGTTGAACATGATTGGTTGGTAACCGTTGGTGTTGTACAAGGAGAACAAAAACGACTTGCTTGAAGTGACATAAATATKACCTGGAAAATAATAATACTCATTAAATATATGCTGAGTTTTGACCACCCGGTCTTCTCTCTTTTCTCTTGTGCATTCTGAGCACAGTTCAGGAGGGTGCACACCCTCTTCCGAGAACCCTTTGATGTWTTTCCMCATTTGGTGTCTCATTTCTGTCCATTTTTATGGAGTGCACCCCCTACCTTGGTTGACCTGCACCCTTGCCCTGAAAAATCCTGGATACGCCCCYTCGCTCAATGACACGCAATCCGAAGCCTGGATTGCGGATTCCATGAAAAATGTCTTAATGATTTTGAATTCCAGTCAGTATTGGATTCTAACTGCAAAGCATCCTGGCTTTTTTTTTCATTGCTAATTACTCGTTTGCGAACTATTTGAAGTCCCTTGGATTTCATTGCCGCATATTCGATCCAGTCAAAATGTTGTTGTATTTCAGATTCCAYATCGTGTGGCGACCGCATGGAACATTTTATGCCGAGATGTACTATTGCACGGATGAAATTTCTAACTGAAGCTACGTTGCTGTCTATTTTGCGAACAATCATTGCTAGCTCTGACTGGTCGTTGAGTGTTCTTAGTTATGTTCAAAGGTTAAAAGGTAAATCTCAATCATCCCCAATAAATGTTAACGTCAATCTCGCACACAAAAAAAAATAAAAAATAAAAAAAACAACAAACAAAGAGACCGTAATACGTAGTTTTCACAACGCATTCTCCATCTTGACATTCAATACCATGATAAATTCCTTCGCTAAATTTACATGACGTCATAAAGAGGCAAGTCATACACGACTTTCAAAAATGGCGGTAGTTCGCGACCTCCAATATTGGGGGACTAGTGATGAATCATGGAAACGAGACCTCAAAGGGCCTTACATCTAGAAATCACTACGACGATCGTATGTAGGTAGTGCACAAAAGTTTGAAAGATGTATTGGCATGTTATTTATAACAAAACAMTCTTGCAAGACACCCTAGAAGTTTACTATACAGAGACTGACATTTGAGACCTCGTTTTAGTGATTCGTCCCCAGTGCACTGGTTGACGACTGTGAAATATCGCGCTATTTAATTGAAAGTCGTGAATTGAGATCAACTTGGAATAGATATTAGATAATCGTTTTACCAGAATGCCATGACTTGTCTGTAAATCCACCAAACACGTACGAACCAACGATAAAGGTCCATGACCGTAGCAAAGGTCTCAGGTTTGATACTTGATCATTGACCAATGCAGGATGTCAACCGATGGCAGTAAACAGCCAACAGCGGATCTATTTTACTTGATGTGTATTCAATGTGGGATGACAAGAGTGCTTTGTAAATTGATTCGCGCATGATCAGTTCGCGGATGAGTCGTGTAGTCTGAAGCTGTTCAAAGCCAAATTACSACTAAATATTTATTTTAACCTTCGTGCGGAACAGGAAAATGTAATCAAGGTTAATTGCTCACGAAAAAAAAGAATGCATTTGTGTTCTGTCTTCCGGATTTGGATATCTTTAGCCAGTGGTAACTGTCACGCAAATGAACAGCTTCCATGTCTGTATGATCCATCCACTTTAAAGTAGATGTATAGGAGTTTAAACGAGCGAAGGTTGAAAGAAATACCTAGTCAAATTTTGGCTTTGTTGTCATCTTCGGAAAACTCATCCGCCATTTTGAAATTCGACCTGAGCCCGTTAGGAAAAGGTCAGCTTTGTTTATTTGGCTTTATGCGCMCTAGGTTTCCATCTAAAAAGCTCCGAGCATCCTTATAAATCGACCAATCAAGAGCGAGGAGAGACGGTTGAATGTACGGCGAAAATCGCGCATGCTCGAACTTTCTAGCCAATCAGCATCGAGCCTCAAACGGCTGTTACCAGTGCTAACGAAGGGAGAAGGGACGACCGAGGTGCACTGGGGACGAGTATGTGCAGTGGCGTGTTTCGGGTTTTTGCGCAGGCGTCGCTCTGTAGCTTCAAGTTTCTTTTCTGCTACTGCTTTGTTGTCTGGTAGGAGGCAAGGATTMTTTTTCCACGGGYAAGGTATCTGCCACTGTTTTCCGATCTTTTGACATGATTTTGCGAATATTTCCGCCTCTTTTCTTTCAAGTTGACTGACTTTATCTGCTTCACAGACACAGGGCTTGACATCCACTCCCATGGCTTCTGTCTTCCAAAATGTAGAAAGGTCAACARGTGCGGCGTGAGACACGTGATATACTCGAYTGACGACTAATACGGGAAGCTATTCAAATGTCAATCAAAGTTTTGAATTACAGTGCAAATCAAACTACTAACTTAAACATTAACTAATTGCGGAAAACTAAGCTAAACACTTATAAAACCTAAAAGATGATGTAGATAAACTAAAGAGAACAGGGAGGTGAGGGTGGGTAAATTACGGTAAGAACGGAACGACCGGCCTKGCGAGCACGAGGTGAATAATGCTAATGACGGGTGGACAAGACCAGGTCGCGCTCGGAAACAGTTCTATCTGGTAATTACCCATCATCACCTTCCGGWTATTATGGTACAATTCTATGTATTTTAATTAATTGACATTGGGTTACAGTCTTGCCTCTGCAAGTGACCACAGCTCCAAATAATATGTCAAACAAAAATCGTAAAGACTCGACATGAAGTGCCATATTATATAATCAAACTACAACGATGGACTCCAAAACATGCTCCGATGGAAATCAAAAACCCGGGCCTCAAACTTCGTTAGAATCTGCTGAACTTCTCTGTCACCAAACAAAGCCAAATGAATCATGCAAATCCTCTCGTTTCACTCGTGTCGATGGACCATGGTCTTGGATCGTTGTTGTTTTTCTGCTTTTTTGTATATTGTTCCAGTATGGCTGTACGTCGACTTATGGGATCCTTTTCCCAGACATTTTACGTGGCTTAAAATCGAGTCGCGCTCTAGCGGGTAAGTCAACTAGAGTATATTTTGTACTAAATGGCGCAATATATTGTAGATTTACGATAAAAAACTAAGGAATTCACATAAATCGGCACAATGCTAGCACTATTTAGACTAATTATACTTTTAATTATACTTTTTTTACCTTAAAAGGTTTTCACTGTTTTAAATTTGCACTCCTGCAAATTCGTGTATCAATTATACGAGCCTAGAGCCTTCTGATYGACAGAAATTTCCATAAAAGCCTTTCAGCTTCAGCTCCCTTCATCCATTGCGATGCAAATTGACATATATTTTCGATTAAAACAACATAATCAACATTTCTGAAACTTTCATGGTACTGTAGAGACATTTCTCTATTCGAGAAAAATCTCAAACAACACGGCGGACAGTGCCGGTCACGCAACATCAAAATCCTTAATGGCCGGTAGCCTATAAAATAACAGATTTCTCTTTTCATGCATCTTTTATTATTCAAGTTTAATAGTTAAAGGATTATTGCCAGTGTTAGTACATCACTCTATCCGAGAAACATCTGCATTCTCTACTAGGATTACAGTTCATGTTCAGAGGGTTATGCTGGGTGGCAGACAGCTCATATTGCAGTGGAATCACTTTGATGATGTCACCTTTTAATCTGACAWTTTTTTTAAAATAAGTGTATCTTTTTACACTTTATACTATTAAAGTACGGTTTAAATTAGCCTCCTCCACAGGCAACTCTTTTTTCCTCCTTTGGGCTTCCTTTGCAACGGTCATTTTGGCCGTTATGGACTAGTGACGAGATAGGAAAAATTCTCCCTCTTTTGACTCCTCAAAAAGACAGGAAGTCCGTGATTCTTAGTGGTGCCTGCGGAGGAGGTTAGGTTTAAATGATTTAAGTTGTGTGTTTTGAGGCGTTTTGGGCGTGTGCAAAGGGGTCCAGAGTTTCCAGAAACACTCTTCCTTGCATTGCTTCCTTGCCAGACAGAAGCTTTGGTACGAGACCTTATTTGATAAATCAATAGGGTTACACATTTTTGAAGTGTTGAATAAATAATAAATAAATAAAAATTATTAATTCGTTTTCAAAAAACTATTTTCATCTATAACACAACTATACAAACTAACTAATAAGTATTATCTATAGAACATTTTTTTTCGGCGTGAATCAAAAGAACACTTGTTCATTTCAATTTTGCAGTCAATCACCTTTTTTAAAAGTCTTGAAACCGCAAGAAAGAAAATAAAATCTGGAATTCGTACCCCCTTGATCCCTCGTGAAACCCTTGCACACGCTCATGTGTCATGTGACCTCTTTCTTTTAAATCTTACACACAGCAATCCCTGGCTCTGCCGCCGTTTCTAACACGGGTATACTAGGAATATTCATTGGTAAACTATGCGATCAATTTGGAAGCCGTAAGATTCTATTCACTGGTAGTATACTCTCTTCAGTAGGAATGGTATCATCGTCATATGCTCCGAATATCGGTGTGTTAATTGGGACTTTTGGATTTCTTCTCGGAACTGGAAGCTGTATGGTGTATTTCAGTGCAATGATGGCCATTCCATTATACTTTGATAAA